CCCTAACGTCAAAAACGAAGTGGGCGGGGCTTATCGGCCGGGACTGGATCGGTCTATTGATATTCAATGTCAGTGGAAGTATCTATTACCTTTTTATTTGCAAACAGAATGTGAAGGCAACGTAAGTGTCACTGTGACCCAGTTGTACGCGATCAGTTATGTGATTAATATTCATGAGCTGGGCCGGTGATACCTTATTACGCCTGTAAATGCTGTAATATGATTGGATATGTCCGGGAAAAGAAACCAATCAATCTACTTCTCTTTTCTTTTGGTTTTAAGTTTGACTGCGCTTTCAAGATTATCTAATATTAATATGTCGTTGCAGTTATGACATATAAGCAACTTTTAAACATTCACCTGGACGATAAGTCACATAATCAAATAACCTTAATCACGGTTAAAATGCGGCAAAACACGTTCCAAAGCTGGAAGATACATAGATAAAGCATTCATTGATTGGTGCTGCATTAGATACTAGTATCTTGTAAAGATGGATCGACTATGGAACAGGATTGATGTTAATTTGAGACTTCTTATAGTGAAAACGGTTTGGTTTCAAACTGAAGACTAACCATTTATTGAGTAACACTACGCTGTATGTCTTCTTCCGAAACTCTGCTGCACGGAGGTCACGTCAATGGTATTCATTGTGATTAAAATTTACATTATTAAGGATATAGGTCTCCAAGTGTGAATGTTATTTTGAATGCGTATGTATGTGTTGATTGTTGAATATGTAACACTGAAATACGCTGGATAAGAACGACTGAATATCTATGTAGAAAACAAGTTGTTCAAACATAGGTATAGTGGGCAGGGACAGTGATACAGCCGTGAGTGGCTACGCTTGTCCACGCGTCCGTAGTTAGGGCAACGGCAGGTACTGTTTTGGGTACGGATATTTTGTTCTCCTTGCAAACTTCATGCGACTTTATGAGGTAGTTGTGAATTGTCGCAGTACATGGGACCTGGTAAGTTGGGTTCAATGGTTCACAGAAAGCCCTGAAACCCTCCCCTTTAACAAGACTTAATGGTCGCATATCCTTAACGCGCATAAGCATTGCTTTTTGCGTAATACCTTCATACCATTTCATGTCAACAGGCTTGCGACTTTTTCTATCAAACTTACCAAACTGCCCCAGCGTTGCTTGTTGAGCTTGTTTTCTGTCTACAGTGCTTATTGTGGGTGCTTACAGGACAAATGCTTGCGTAACTAAGGGAAACGCCACAAAGACGGCATTTCGTATTTTGGCCACTAAATCAAGATAAAAATGCGTCCAGACATTGGATTTTTTCTCACGATCATCCATCTTGATTGCATGAGATGTTTAGAGGTATCTCCCTGCGAGTCCATTCAATTGGACTCGAGTCCTGCTTTACCCGACTCGGCCCCGAGTACCCGAGTACTCGTGAGAGCCCTACACAAGACGGGTACTGCGGGCAGCGCACGTGCAGGACACGGGTAGCACGTGCATTGTGCGTGCAAGGCAAGGTGTTGGCTGCCAGTCGCATCCCAGTTGACACCGGCTGATCCATCGGCATGTTCTCATTTCGCCTACATCCCAATTCGCCTACAGTTTTAAAACAACATTTCATGGTAAACTAGTGGCACCCCTATGATCTAAAAGTGGACTCTTCTAGTTGAAGTAGTTGAAGGACAAAAAGAATTTATTTCTGTTATTTGTCTGTTATTTATTTATTCTGTTATTTGTCATTTTCCGATCACAATGATATTCACATCATATCACATGATATCACATTAGTGTTAAGGAAGTTAACTTAGTCCATTTAGAGATAAACATACTGTGTTGGAAAATTAATGGTTTATAACGAAATTATAATATAACATATGTTATATTTGGGATCACACTTTCTCAGTCAAGTACAAATTCTAGTACTTTAGATGTTGAAATCAAACCAATTCTACTGTATGTTGCGGAAATATGGGGATTTAAATACTTTGATTCCATAGAAAAGGTACATTTATTTGCTTGTAAGAAATTTCTCGGGGTAAAGATGAGCACATCAAATGTTACGGTATATGGGGAATGTGGCAGATACCCGCTCATCATATCTTCACAAATCACGGCTATTAAATATTGGATAATGTTATTAAGTATGCCATCCTACCGTTTACCAAAATAATGCTATAATATGATGTTACTATATGACAAAGAAGGTAAAAATAATTGGCCAACACATGTTAAACACCTACTATTTTCTACAGGATTTAATCATTTATGGTATGAACAAAACGTTGAATGTTCGTCATTGTTTCTAAATGCATTCACTCAAAGATTAAAAGATATGTACCAGTAGAAATGGTTGGAAACAATTTCATTAGCTACAAAATGGAATTATTATTCAATCTTTAAAACACACATTTATACTGAACGTTATTTATCATGTGTTAATGTTAAGAAATATAGAATAGCTTTAGCTTGTTTCCGTTGTTCATCTCATGATTTATTAATTGAAAGAGGTAGGTTTATGAATATCAAAAGAGAGGATAGAATATGTAGATGTTGTAATAATAATCTTATAAAAGACGAATATAATTTTCTTCTACTATGCCCAGCATATCATAGTATACGTAAAAAATATATTAAAGAACTTTATTTTGTTCATCAATCAATTGATAAATTTTCGTCTCTATTGAATTCTTCAAATGAAAGTGTAATTAAAAATGTTGCAGTTTTCATTTATTGAGCCATGTCGATAAGAAATTTGTATACTAGTATATGAAATGTACTATAGGCCTGTGGCCTCCTCAGTACTGAAATAAAGAAAAAAAATAAAAATAAAGAGTGAGTGAGTGAGCGTGTTGTTGACAAACTAAGAAACGTTATCTGGACGAACCGGAATTCGAACTATGAACCATAGGCTTTTCTTACCCTCAAGTGACGCACTTAAGTACTGTGAATTGAGATGCCTTAGAAGACTAGGCAAACCACGGACCTATGCCTTGGGCCAACAGCCCCAGGACAGTTAGTCTTGGTGAAATTCCACGAAATTTGAACAGTGTTAAGTTACAGTGGGTATTTTCTGACGCATAGGTCAGCAGTTATAACATGACAGACAGGCTGGTTTGAATGTAATCGGACGACTGAAAGGCACCAACTTACAGATAGAAATATGGCAAACAATCTATGATTCCTTGTCATAATGAATGGGACAAATACGGAAGCATTTATTACATTTTATTCACAGAAATAAGGTTACAAGTTTTTCAGTCTTCGGAACGGTGATTATGGAATGGAACCTGTGAATAAAAAAATATATGAAAGTTAACGCAATGAATGTTCGATATTTAGCAATTCACCTCAGTGGTGAAGTACCTTTGGTAAAATCATTCTTTAAACGCATCTGAAATAATGTAAACAGAAAGTATACTACTGACAATTATGATGAAACTACACTAGACGCCAAAAGAAACGTTACCCTCCTACCTTTATGAATTACTGAAAAACTATCAAAGATATGTTAGAAGGTATTAGTTTACAAGAAAGCTTAACAACACAGCTGTATGCAAATCACGAAAAACAATTCTCAAATGCATTCATATTGAGGTGAAATGCATCTTTCCCAGAAGAGTTAAATTGTACTATTTTCGTCCATGCCGAAATAAACCAATAATAGTGATTTAGATGTCCAAAAGAAAGGTTGAACTAAAACTTCTGCTTTGGGACAAAGATAAACCATTTAAAGTCATCATTTTTCAACTATCAAAACAAGCAACAACTGTTGCAGTGTGTGTAAAATTGTGAAAGAATCATTCGTATGATTTCAGTCTTTTTAAAACATTTTCTGCTGATTTGCATTAGTGAAAACAAGTAAACGTGTCTTTGTGAAAAAATGTTTAGGAATATCTAAAATAATCATTGTTAATATTTTTGCTTGCAAAGTAACACTTTTCCATTTTCTGTTTACACATAGCAATATCAATCGCCAAAACGCAGCAATATTCAAGCAGTATTTACATCCATTTCACATGCGGAAAGATTCAATGGGGCATAAAGAGAGCCTAGAATACATGATCTGATACACAAGTACGAGAAATATGCCACGAATAACAGCTGAAGGGAGAGAAAGAGCCATTGGATGATGCAGATGGGGTCGACATACAATGCTGTTGCCAACGCCCTCGGATGCCACCGTATCACGGTTATAAGACTTATTTATGGCTTCAGACAGACTGGGGTCACCGCAGACAGACCAAAAGGTAGACGTCTAGCTGAAGATAGGTACGTCCGTCTTTAAGGAAGGAGGGTAACGTTTCTTTTTGGCGTTTAGTGTATGTACGCCTTTAGATGTAATACGTCGATCTTAGAACAAGACCCGTGAAGATGCGGGTTAGAATTGGTCTTCAGCAACTAACGGGATCGGATGGTCAGGCTCACTGACATGGTTGACACATGTCATCGTATCCCAGTTGCGTAGATCGTGGTCATGTTGTTGATCACTCGATTATCTGGCCCAGACTCTTTTATTTACGGATCGCCGCCTTATAGCTATATACTACCCATCAAAAGTTTAGACTCACTAGTGTAAATGTAGCCCCTTATTTCAGTCAACTGTTCTAAACCAGATTTGGCAAAATATTCCATACTGTTTATAGGTACTGTTTACACATGAACTGATGCATTGTAAAACAAATTCGTAACGTTGAAAAGATTATTATCGTGAGTTCAATAAATGATGAAACTCGGTGAAAATTGGCGATTTTCTTAACAAAACTTTACACTGAAACGCAGCTGGTCACATGCACGATATTTCCACATGCTTTTCAGAATTTTGATGCATGATCCTTGTACAATTCATCTGCATAAGGTTTGCAATTGGTTCCCCCCAAGTTAGTGGAGAAATTCATCTTCGATGTAACCATATATATATACATAACACATAGTGAGTGCTTTAAGTGAGTCTAAACATTGATGGGTAGTATATTACTGAGTGCGGTGTTCAACAACAAACCAACCAAATCAAGAACTACATACCATCGAATCCAAGCGAGGCGCAGGCATTCTTCACATTAATACCGACGTTGCTTGTTCGCACTGCCCAGCTGCAGAACTGACTCAGACCAGGACCACTTGGGCCAGTAGCACCAGTTGGCCCCGTTGTCCCGGTGTTCCCTGTGTCTCCTGTGTTGCCCGTGTAACCGTTCTGGCCTGTGATACCTCTTGTTCCCCGACTTCCTTGAGCTCCCCGAATGCCAGTGTTACCTCTGGTGCCAGTGTCACCGGTATCTCCTAGGTAGCCAATGGTTCCATCGACTCCTGTAGCGCCGGTATAACCAGTTGCACCTGTATCTCCTGTATACCCTTGACTTCCTCGGTCTCCTCGAGGTCCAGTGATGCCTTGTGTTCCTTCAACTCCTGCATCACCCTTAACACCCGTATTTCCGGTATTTCCAGTCAAGCCAGTCGCCCCTTGGCTTCCAGTTTCCCCAGTGTCTCCTGTGACCCCTGTGTTGCCAGTAATCCCCCGTGTGCCACTTCGCCCCCCAAGCCCACTAGATCCTATGTCTCCTTGGAGGCCTGTGTTCCCTTTGCTGCCCTTCGTTCCTTCAATTCCAATAACGCCACGCACACCAGTAATTCCAGTGAAGCCAGTGTACCCTGTGGCTCCTGTGTATCCTGTTGACCCAACGAATCCAGTGTATCCTTGTTCGCCAACATCGCCTGTGTCACCTGTGAAACCCTTCTGCCCGACGGCCCCTGTATCACCAGTGTAACCTTTCTGCGTGCCCGTGTCTCCAGTGTAACCGGTTGGCCCCGGGACACCCGTTGCCCCAGTGTACCCCGTAGAACCAGTTCTTCCTGTGTTACCACTCTTCCCGCGTGTCCCGCGTCGATCTGGCACAAGAAGAAAACAACGATACATGTATACACATAGAATTAGCAACGTACGTCGGCGGGACGAGCGAATGCTTTAGTGTGAGTGAGTTTAGTTTCACGCCGCGTTTAGCAATATTCCAACAATATCACGTCGGGTGCTTCACGCATTGTACCCATGTGGGGATTCGAACCCGGGTTGATTTTAAACGTGGAATAGCCAAGTTGAAAACATAGAAACCAGGTTAAAAACTAGGACATCGTGAGTAGAAACATGTGAACCCACAAATGATTTTTTACGTAGAAAACCCTTGCAATATGTGTTTCTGTACAAACGTGCTTTAGACAAATTTTCCACTGTTACTCTAGGCCTACAACGGAAAGGTACGGGGTACAAGTTCACGCTTTATCACTGCAAAAGGGGAGCGCAAAAGAACATTCATCCTCTCATCATATTATGCAACGCCACCGTGGTGTAGTGGTTAGAGCGTCCGCCCGGAGAGCGGAAGATCGCGAGTTCGATCCCCGGCTGCGTCATGCCAACAAGACGTGAACATGTGGTACTTGTTGGTCCCTGCCTGGTGCTCGGCAGTAATGGGTACAAAAAGGACTGGTCGGCTCGGAGTCAGTATAATGTGTCTGGACTGCGGCATGGTATCTCAGTGAGCTAGCACTGTAAAACCAGCTAAAGTCTGGGCTAGTACAAGCAGCCGTACATACACGCATGTATTCTTAAGTAGGACGTTAACCCCATTTCACCTCACCTCATTATGTTATACAATAATACTCACAGTTGGTATGAGAACGGGTGAACACTGCAGCAGCCGCGTTGACAAAGACGAGGATGAGGAAGATTCCTGAATAATTCATACTGAAGGCTGTTGATGATCTAAGGACTGATTCATGCTGCACTAGGGTCTCAGCCCTTTATATAGTACCCTCGAAGAGGACATGCGATTTCATTGGATATCAGTTTATGAATAATGACCCCAGACACTGCCCAGATGTCGACAGGGAACCAGTTGTCGTCTCTTCACTGATTAAACTCAGATGAGCCGCATTCGAAATTAATTGCCATGAAGTTGATCAGAATAATTTAGTGTTATCCGCACTGAACTTTAATTTACTCAGGCCGTAATCCACGACAGTGGAAGACCATGCACATTTACACTGCAGGTAAATAGTGTGTTGCAACAAAACAAATACATAGGTTAACATGTTCTCAAAATGTTACCATAATAATTTTACGAAAGGTGTATAATTTGTTAAACAATACAATATTTGTAGTGGATAGAAGCAAGACAAAATTGGGGCGGTGGGGTAGCCTAATGGATAAAGCGTCGGCTCGTCACGCTGAAGACCCGGGTTCGATTCCCCACGTGCGTACAATATATGAAGCCCATTTCTGGCATCCCCGTCGTTCACTCACTCAAGACAAAAGGAGGAGTATTTGGATATTTACGGTAATATAACGGTATACAAATGTTTCTCCGTTCTTTAAGCCAAGGACATGTCAAAATATAGTGAAACTCCTCGAAGAGATCTCTCGTGTCGCATAAAACGCGTAGTGTATTTGGTAATGGTATTTTGTTCAATCTACCTTTTTCAATTAGAATTTCGAAAATTTCGTATTGGCATTTTGTATTTGTTATCCAAAATTTTAAGACTTGGTTTAGACAATATATCCAGATCAAATAGTTTATATGCAGTTCATTTTTTGGTATTTTCTATTTCTTTTCTTCTGTAGATATTGATCATAGCATTCAAAGCAGGTGGATTCCATTCTCGATCACGGTGAAGGCCACTGTATACGTATGTTGCCATTCCATACAACACTCAATAGGAGGATATATTAAAACCCGGCCTTAACGGGACTGCTTGGGCGTAAGGCGTGGGGCGTAGGGCGTGGGGACGCTGCCGCTCCCGTCAAGGCAGAACACAAACCTTTGATATTCTACTGTTTCACACAGCGGCGTCCGAAGTGAGAAAGGTTTTACCGCATACAGATAAAAGGACTGGAAATGCCGTTGTTAATTTGACTAGATTGATAAGGAAAACGTGGAGTGGTGGTTGTTACCTTTTCCTAGCGTTGTGTGCCTGTAGACTCACTCACTCACTCACTCATTCACTCACTCATGGTAGCATATATATATGGAAATATCTATAGCTTTATAGTGTCGCTACATGAATGCAAACAGGACGCCAAACTCACTCACTCCTCCCCACCCATTCACTCACTCACTCACTCCTCCTCACCAACTCACTCACTCCTCCCCACCCACTCACTCACTCACTCACTGCTCCCCAAGTCAGCGGAAAGATGTATGGGTTCGCTATATAAATGCAAACAGTGAATAGATAGGGAGGTTTATAGGAACGTTATAGATGAATGCAAACAGTGAATAGATAGAGAGGAGTACGGGGTCGTTATATGAATGTTAACAGTAAATACTTAAATAGATTGAGAGGTTTATAGGATAGTTATATGAATGAATACAGTGAATAGATTGGGAGTTTTACGGGGTCATTATATGAATATATCACATACATACATACACACACACACATACACACATACATACATACATACATACATACATACATACATACATACATACATACATACATACATACATACATACATACATACATACATACATACATACATACATACATACATACATACATACACATCCATCCATCCATCCATCCATCCATCCATCCAAACAAATATTACAATATAAAATACATGTTTTATAATTGCTGGATACCGTGCAGCCTTTTATTGTTCATCTTATGGATGCATCTTGCCAATTCAGATTGCATGCATTCAGTGACCAGCATCCATTTATATTTATCCATCACAGATAATCCACAAAAATTGGTGAAATGAGTATCACATATATCAAATAAATAATTCCTCATTAACGCAGGTTCACATTTATGACGATGTAGAGCAGATGTAGGACAAGTAGCACAGAAGTAATCTAACTAACCCTCTCCCTTAATTAGTTAACCCCGCTCTCACTGGTATCCTATTCATCTGTATTTTGCCTCGGCTTCTCTCACGTATAATTATGCTTGTTTTCATTGTTAATCAACTGTTTCATCACCCACTGTCTTTGTCAGCCCTCATGTACCCTATATATATCCTGCTATACCGAAACGTCGCTATTATACAACCAAGAAGTTGATCATCCATAAACTTCTAGGATGCCTCTCAAACAGTTCGATTAGCACAGAAATGTTTACAGATAATTATTTACTGTTAATATAAAAAAATACATACTTAAACAAAGATATGACATTACTTAACAAGGAAAATATCTTACTAAACAATCTACCGTTACTGGATCTGTTTAGATAGAGCTGTACAGATCCTATATATTATTTTGTTGGAAGAGATGGATTTCAAACTGTATTAATGTACGTTACAGAAATGGTTGGCACTAACCAGCCCCTATTCGTGAAATGAGCTTTGTCTTATGGCTCCTATATACTGTCGCAATAGCTTGTACTGGTTACTTAGCGGTGGTTTGGCGTATTTCTTGCTCATTCATGTATTGCATTTGCTTACAATCTTGCGTATGAAGTCGTTGGCATAAAAATAGCTGTATTTATACAATATTGCTGAATATAAAGTGGGGAAGCGTAATCGCATGTAACGTATCTGTCACATTATTTGTTTGTTTCACAGGGGCTTGTATTGCTGAAAATAATACGTCCTGGGTCCTACATTCGTCCACCGATATCCATGCATCCGTATATGGATATCGGTGAACGAATGTAGGACCCAGGACGTATTATTTTCAGCAATACAATACACCAGAAATGGGCTTCACACACTGTACCAATGTGGGGAATCGAACCCGGGTCTTCAGCGTGACGAGCAAACGCTTTAACCACTAGGCTGCTCCATCGCCCCTGTTTGTTTGATGTTTAACGCCACTATCACTAATAACCCAGGAAAAGAATAGAACCCTCCAGTAACAAGCTGTGGTTATCGGAAACATCTTTAATCACCCCTATCGTGCGTCGCGTTTTCAGAGCAATGTTTGATATCAGATATATCAGTTTTATGAAGACGCTTAATTCCCCTCAGGGTGCTGATGTCTCACCCCGCCTGGATAATCAATTTGAATATTGATAACATTTCAACTTTAATTACTGTAAGGTGTAAATTGACGACGTTCGTAGCGGCATGTGATATCTCTGACCACGCATTGATAGTGACGTTAGATTGACAGCTGCCATTCAACTTGTCAGGTACACAGGGACGTTATGTTGACTCGCTACGTCATGGAGCATATAGTACTCACAGAGCGGTGTATGAGGAAACATCCACGGTGATGGAGGCTTTAGACGTTCACCACGTCGATGGTACGACCAGGGCATGCTCCTGTGAAACCAAGACCAAAAACAGGGCTTGTCAGGGATTCGAACCAAGATATGTTATTTCTGGATCGCCTGTCATATGTATGGGCATACAATTTTACCTACAGCCAAAATATTTGCTTGTTCTTGTCTAACACATTGTGAATTTGTAGCGGCGGCCGATTGCAAAATATTTTGTTTTTAAGGTTTATATTGAACTGCTTTTGTATATTACGAAACTTACTGAATATGTTAAATCATTTGATTGAAATAATACCATTACGTCCAATCCAGCTTTTGGGCTCAAGGGAAGGTAAAATATCTGGATATCTTAAATGTTAAATGTTTCGAAGTTTAAACGAGAACCAGGTCAGTGTTATTAATAGCTGCACGTATGTGCGAGGACATCGCGTCAGTAAAACAATTCCCGAATTCCATAATAAAGTCGACATCAGACAATCAGAAAGCACTTTTCTATATCTTTACGGTGCTAATTTTAGACTGGAGACTTTCCTTCCAGTCTACAACTTGAAAACTTATGAAGTTTTCCATTCACAATTTGGTAATTCAACAAACGAAATTTCTAGAATGAGAATTAGATATGTCAGTTCTCCCCACAGATGATGGAAAGTTCTTCCGTGTCAAGTGTTTGCACCATAGAAGCGATATACGGTGATTTTAACGAAACCAAGGCTGTAATTGGAATACATTTTTGTACCCTGTTTTGCGGGATTGAATGATCAGAAAAAAAAAAAAATTTCGACTGTCACTTCGCGAGGTAAACGACATTTTGATTGATCAGACGAAGGGTGCCACTGGAGGGATATGTATCCTCCTACCCATCTATATATAGACAGCATATGAAGTATTTACCTCTTGGGAAAATTTTGAAAATTAAAGGCTATAGTAATATATGAATATATTCCAGTCAAACATACTGAGAGAAATCATATGTGCATGTATGAAAGACAAAATCTATGATTACAAAAGATTATTACTGAATCAATACCTTGATTCATTTTGGGAGTTATCCATTTTTACAAGCTACAGTGATTCGCACAGTGTACCGAAAACAACCCACTCATCCGACGGTAGATGCTAGCCAAACATTCATACGTACATACACGCGAAACACAGCTGTCAAAACATGTCATGCTGCCCTGTCCACCCAGCCGGGAATGGGTACCCGATATGTGTCGTGGAGGTTAGTGTCAAGCAGCCTGAGTTGTAGACTTCCCAGAGTTTGACAATGTCTATTTGAAAGTATAGGATTCACAGGTCAAGTAAAAACTATTCATTCTTAAGTGAATGTTAACATAAAATAAACTGACGTACAAAAGAAAGTACACACCTGATGATTTGGTAAAATGTTTTCCTGAAAACAGCGTAATATTTAGAAAAGTGTCACAAACATTGTGTACGCATTGTGTTGCAATAACACCATAGATATCGTACCCATTTGGAAAATTGCTAGCAAATACAAGACATATCTTATGGATAACAACTTCTTGGTTTATTTTTCACAACGGTTCTGGGCTAGTTCTTGCCCCTTCTTCAGGTGAATAATGGTGATAGTGAACAGTACAGTATACATATAGATGTACAGGAAGACAGATATGTAAATTGAGTATATACAAGGGAAAGGGAGATATAATTAAGTATGTACAAACAATGCAGTGAGATCAAAGAGCAGAATACAATGATAGGGTATGTTTTACAATAAGGGCATGGGTGTGTTTACATAGCAGAGTGGTTAAAGCAGATTGAGTTTGAAAGTCTATGATTTCTGGGTGATGGACCAGGCGCTGGGGAGGTAAACCCCTTGATCTCTGTTGATCTCAGGCACTAATCGTCTTATGCTGATTGACTCACACAGTTTTCTTTTGCGCCAATTGCTGATGTTGGAAGCCAGGATTTCGGTGTGTTGCCAGTTCATAGAGTGGTTGGGATTGTTAACGATGTGTTCTGAGAGGGCAGATTTGAGATCAGATTTTCCAACTGAAGTTTTATGTTCTTTTAGTCTTATTTGAAGGGCCGACATGTTTCTGCAATATAGCTGCTCCCACAATCACAACTAATTTTGTAGACACATCCTCTGGGATTGGGTTCTCCCTGATTGTTGCTACCTCTTCCATTCGCTCTCAGGATGGCTTTGAAGGTGTTGTCGGAATAAAAAGTCACATCAACACTGGCAGTTTTTCTAAGGAGTCGACTGATGTGATGGCTAATCTGGCCTTGGTACTGTTCACTATCACCATTATTCACCTGAAGAAGGGGGAAGAACTAGCCCAGAAACGTTGTGAAAAATAAACCAAGAAGTTGTTATCCATAAGATTTGTCTTGTATTACTACACCAACTTCTAAATGCTATGAAGAATTTGATTGCTAGCAAAATATTAAGGTTGTTTTAATATTATCCAAACACCAGGTTAGTACTTTCTTTTGTACATCAGTATAGAATTAGCTGAGACTGTTTAACACCTTGTCAGTGGATGCCCTTCCTTGGCAAACACAATCTGTAACGACACAACGGCAAAGCTCGTTCTGGTACGACCCTGAACATGTCCACAACGTCATGGATGTGATGCTTTTAAACTTCTCTGGAATACGCCCATTTACAGTCTAGCAAACCTAATGTTGTTCTAAAGCCAATGAAATGAACTGTTATTGAATTCTCTGTCCCTTTTGACAGCAGGTTGTTCTTTTGGACAATGAGACTTCCAAACAACACGGTCATGAGGTACACCATTGGCCCCTATTTGATATTGGATAAAGTTGACGCACTAAATTGATGATAACTTGGTAAAATCTTGATACATACATGTACGTTTGTCTGGTCCTTGGTTATTTACAGGTATTTGTGAAACTGTAATACAGCGAAACATGGCATTAAACAACATTCACTCAATGAAGCAGTCGAGTTGATCTTAATGCTCATATACTCCAACATCCTGGCAACGCTGCGGGATGTGCTGTTAGAGCATCAAATATTCACACATCATTATCCATAACATGTAGGGTAGCCTTGTGGTTAAAGCGTTCGCTCGTCACGTTGAAGGCCCGGGTTCGATTTCCCACATGGATACAATGTGTGAAGCCCATGTCTGGTGTCCCCCGCCGTGATATTGCTGAAATATTCCTAAGAGCGGCGTAAAACTAAACTCACTCACTCACTCCATAACATATTATGTTTTAGAAAATTTCAAATCCTCGTAGAAAGGGAAAGACTAGAATACATGGTCATGTGTCATTGAATCCAGGTTAATCTAAATCGTACTCAAAACTGACCACATATTTTCGGATTAACGAGCCAAAGACACGAATAGTGTTTCCATATACTTCCAAACACAGCCGGAAGGTGGGTCATCCTGGTCAGTGTTGTCCACGGGTCACATATTAGGGCTGGATTGTTGAAGTGTTGGTAGCTTGCATTATCAGCATTTCTGTTACCGGTGTTGAAGATGCGTGCTGCGATAAATGGCTCACAGCCCAACTATCCTAAAATTGACACCTGGGAAAAAACCCACTTAACCTATTTAAGGTCTGCCCATTTCAAGGGGCTGCTTTTCAGTTTAAATGGGATTATTTGTTATTATCAGAATTATATTATTCAGAGACTATAAGCGTTAGTCTAAAACCCCATTTACCAATGCTTTAAAACAGTACCTCAACAATAACTCTTCTGATCTCAAGCACATTCTAACAAACCCCATATTAATTAAACCAGTCACTAAATATCTCATTCATACAAAAGTATACCAAACAATCTCGTAACAAAAACAATAATACACTAATTCCACTTTTTACCATTTAATTTTTTTTCGAATGAGTTATCTCTTTTTATCAACTTCACTTTTTAACATTTTATATCTTTATCATTATTATAAATATACTTTTAAACATGGGTTGGGTGTAAAAACAAAACAATGACAATAACCATTTATTACTCTACATCTATATTAAATTCCAAATCTCTATTGTTCTTCACCTATTTCATATTTTTAACCTTTTTTATTCGGCGTCCCTTTCAAATTTCCCTTAATACTCAGTGGTTGTTTTTCGTTTTTGGGTAGTAACACCACTCTTTCAAAATTCCTATTTTGTTGTTCCCCTCATTTCTTAATACGTGTACAACCCCGTCGCCGAAATACCTTAGTTGTGCGTGCGATGTTAACTAAAGCAAATAACAACAACGTAAGTCTAAGGCGGGGCGTGAAGTCGCCACCTCTACAAACTTGCCCTGTCATCCAGACTTGCTTCATTTAGGGTTATAACGTTGCAGGGAGGATCGGGGTGTTGGGAAATAATGCGGTTCAGGGACTGTGGGACTGACTAGTCCAGACTTAGACGCTCGCCATCACGACTGTCCGCTCTACAGCCCACGAACCCACACGTTCCTGACAGGACAGATAGCGGATTCTATGTATTTGATATTTCCCCACTTATACCAGGCAGTGTCATGTTTCATGTTACCACTAGTCAGTGTCTGGGTCTACACATCGCGATCATTGCAATAAAAACCGTTTGCCAGCTAACCAGTGTCAAGTTTACCTCGGGCGGGATCACAAATAGTTCTTTAACCGGTATGCCATTCAGTGCATTCCCCCATTCAATTCCCCTTCCCGCAGTCGAGTACAATCTCCTCAGTGGGTTTAACCGCCTTGTGGAGGTAAGTGGTTAACATTGCTTTTCTCCATTTGTTTAATCAAGGGGTTTATAACATACATACGACGTGGCTCTGTATTAACAACTTAAGAAACAGATTTTTGTCGCATGTATTATTAAACCTTGTCTGTGTCTTCATGACCAGTTGGAAGTGTGGGGACACCCGTGCGTGTATATCGAGTCCCCCGTTACAATATAGACCATTCAGGTAAAGATGTTGCCGAGGCATATACTTTAAGTTCCGAAATAAAGCCTTTCTTAATTTTACTGCACAAATATATGTATGACTGTGTGGAACTGTAACAGTTCAATATGTTACACAATAAATGCACACTATCCACACTCATACCCAACATACAACTCTGATTGACGTTAAGTGATTCATGAAGTCCTTTCCCAAAGGTTTTATTGGAATAACATTCTACTCTATTCTCTGTGAGTGTTCGATGTTGATTTTATGTTGACTATTTACCCTTAGACCCTCTCCACCACATATCTGTGTGTGTCCAGTGTTGATATTATGTTGACTATTTACCCTTATACCCTCCACCACATATCTGTATGTGTCCAGTGTTGATATTATGTTGACTATTTTATGTTGACTCTCCACCCACATCTAGTATGTCTGTCCAGTGTTGATATTATGTTGACTATTTGCCATAGACCCCTCCACAACAACATATATCTGTGTGTGTCCAGTGTTGATTTTTATGTTGACTATTTACCCTTAGACCCTCTCCACCACATATCTGTGTGTGTCCAGTGTTGATATTATGTTGACTATTTACCCTTAGACCCCTCCACAACATATCTGTGTGTGTCCAGTGTTGATTTTATGTTGACTATTTACCCTTAGACCCTCTCCACCACATATCTGTGTGTGTCCAGTGTTGATATTATGTTGACTATTTACCCTTAGACCCTCTCCACCACATATCTGTGTGTGTCCAGTGTGATATTATGTGACTATTTAGTGTTGTGTTATAGTGTTGATATTATGTTGACTATTTACCCTTAGACCCTCTCCACCACATATCTGTGTGTGTCCAGTGTTGATATTATGTTGACTATTTACCCTTAGACCCCTCCACCACATATCTGTGTGTGTCAGTGTTGATATTATGCTTGACTATTTACCTTAGACCCTCTCCACCCATATCTGTGTGTGTCCAGTGTTGATTTTATGTTGACTATTTACCTTAGACCCTCTCCACAACATATCTGTGTGTGTCCAGTGTTGATATTATGTTGACTATTTACCCTTAGACCCTCCACCACATATCTGTGTGTGTCCAGTGTTGATATTATGTTGACTATTTACCCTTAGACCCTCTCCACCACATATCTGTGTGTGTCCAGTGTTGATATTATGTTGACTATTTACCCTTAGACCCTCTCCACCACATATCTGTTTTCCAATGTTGATATTATGTTGACTCTTTACCCTTAGACCCTCCAACACATATCTGTGTGTGTCCGATGTTGATATCATGTTGACTATTTACCCTTAGACCCTCCACCACATATCTGTGTGTGTCCGATGTTGATATTATGTTGACTATTTACCCTTAGACCCTCTCCACAACATATCTGTTTTCCAATGTTGATATTATGTTGACTCTTTACCCTTAGACCCTCCAACACATATCTGTGTGTGTCCGATGTTGATATCATGTTGACTATTTACCCTTAGACCCTCCAACACATATCTGTGTGTGTCCAGTGTTGATATTATGTTGACTATTTACCCTTAGACCCTCTCCACCACATATCTGTGTGTGTCCAGTGTTGATTTTATGTTGACTATTTACCCTTAGACCCTCTCCACCACATATCTGTATGTGTCCAGTGTTGATATCATGTTGACTATTTACCCTTAGACCCCCTCCACAACATATCTGTGTGTGTCCAGTGTTGATATCATGTTGACTATTTACCCTTAGACCCTCCAACACATATCTGTGTGTGTCCGATGTTGATATTATGTTGACTATTTACCATTAGACCCTCCAACACATATCTGTGTGTGTCCGATGTTTATATTATCTTGACTATTTACCCTTAGACCCTCTCCACCACATATTTGTGTCCGATGTTGATATAATGTTGACTATTTACCCTTAGACCCTCCACCACATATCTGTGTGTCCAGTGTTGATATTATGTTGACTATTTACCCTTAGACCCTCCACCACATATCTGTGTGTGTCCGATGTTGATATTATGTTGACTATTTACCCTTAGACCCCTCAAACACATATCTGTGTGTGTCCCATGTTGATATTATGTTGACTATTTACCCTTAGACCCCCCTCCACATATCTGTGTCTGTCTGATGTTGATATTATGTTGACAATTTACTCCTAGACACCCTCTATCACATATCTGTGTGTCCCATGTTGATATTATATTCACTATTTACCTCAAGACTCAAGAACATCACAGCTAAATCATGTAAAATTAATTTTAAATCAATATTTATCAATATACAGGTAAACGAATTATTATTTGTAACAAGTTCCATGTTGTCACGAATTGTGTATGACGCAGGCAAGGAGATTGAGCCCTCATCCACTCCAAAGGGCTGGCGTGTGGTTTACATCAGAACAAAAACCCACTACAATATGTAACATTTTCAATAGGCATTAACCATGCAGTTCCTTTCGGATAACGTGTTCGCTGCCGTTAACGTCCTTTGACATGCGTGTATTAACTGAAACAAATCGTCCCAACTACGCCGTACGACACTTTGTTGATTATGTCGTCGCTATGGTGACATGATTCACTGTCAATATTGACCAACCTCTCCCCTTGTGACCTCTACCTTGCTCTATACAAGTACAGAGCATATACACTACGACTCATTCTTGAATTTGCTTTGGTTGGTGTTCGTGTTTATCTAAGATGGATTTCTTGAACAAACAAAATGTCTCTCACACAGTAACACCGGTGACCTAATCGACATATTTCTAGGCGCAGAGTTGCCTCCCCTGGGCGCGTCTTACACCGATGATCGTTTTCGATGTATAGTAATATATTTTGATTTGGTTGTGGTGTATGTCCAATAGCTGTCTCCGTCGCTCCTGTTTACAGAAACAATGGTTCGTGTCGAGGTAGTCGCTGTTGGACTGCTGGTGTTTGCCGCCTCCGTCGACGCCGACTTTAGTGGATGGTAGGGACGTTAACGCTGACATTTAAAACATATCTTGTCAATAATAAATCAAAGCTTAATGCTTTTGTCACTGCTTATATTTAAATGCGGCTGAAATAAGAACAGAGTGGCTGCCGTGAGTAGCTTGCCCGCCCGTCATTTTAACTTAAATTGTGTCCATATTCCACTGACACGTCTGTTTCCAATTCCTCACAAAGTCAGACATGATCCTGTTATTAAATCACATGGCTATTGATGTTTCTGGACCACCATCGTTACTCGGATTTATATCTGGAAACTGATAAAAGACTTCGGAATACACCTATTTCGTATATAAACCTGAAGACGAATAAGCTTTTGTCTGCAAATTTGCTTTCTCAGGCTTGTAAATACCCATGTCCGAGACTGCCCATAGTGCGGAGACTTTCTGGAGAAATGGAATTAAAATTGAAAGTGTTCTACACGTATAAATACTGTATAGTACACCAGGCCCCTGAATGTTCTAACTTTTTTCAGTCTACACACTTGCAACTTCACAGTCCGTTTTCAGGAACTTCTGGTCCAAGTTTGCCAAACCGTGGGAAGTATTCATTCAGAATTCTTATGACATACAAAAAGCTGTTAACGTCACCGACACCAACAACGACGGCGTCATCACACTTGAAGAAATCGGGGAACACATCACCACCTACGACTCTGATGGTAAGAGCTGTGCCGTTTGATTCAGATAATGCATAAATAACTGAAGATACACAGCGTTAAGCACTGTCAGCCTGGGTGAGAATATTTTGTGTTTTTGTTGCAAAAAGGCAGCAGTTTGTGGCTATCTTCAATTATTACACACGTGTTCTGAATATCTTCATGAGATAACTTTTGCTTATTTGAAACAGGTGTTGTGTAACCTGTTGAAAGTTATCCAACGAATGTTGTGTAACCAAACTAGGTTATTGAACGATAGTGATGTCATAATGCCGAACTCTCTGTTGCCATCACGATATTTTAAATTAACAATATTACTCCATTCAAGCAGTTTTTGACCAAAAATGTCAACCAAACAAATCATTAGGTTTGTGGATAATAAAAATTAAATTTCTATGTCCTGGGAATTAGTATTGTTTTCAACTGAATATTTTTAATCGTTTATTTTCATCTATAAAGTTGTCGTGACAGAGTTATCTCCCTTTCGTATTTTTTGCATCCAGCATCGTCTGCTTGATTTGTCATCATGGATCACGCTGTTTTCCTGTGTGTAATAGATAGATAACGAAATTCGTGGATGTTGAATATGGAAAATATTCAAACGAGATATATTTAAACGTTTTGATTTATTCACTCGCTTAATCAAAACGTTAAAAAAACTGGATTATTTTCCATATTCGACACCCACTCGTTTTGCAATCTCTGGATACATCATGATGCTTGAAACACACATTACATGTAGCACCTCAGACCATCACACTTACATGCACTTTGTGTATTACAATGAATGCCTGATTATGACGTTTAAACACTAAACGCCAAAAGAAACGTTACCTTCCTTCCTTAATGACGGAGATCGCTATATTCAGCTGGCGTTGTGATGCGTGGACGTCCACTTCTGTCTACGGGGACCCAAGTGTGTCTGAAGCCCTGAATAAGTCTTATAACCGTGATAGGGTGGCATCCGAGGGCGTTGGCAACAGCATTGTATGTCGACCACATCAGCACCATTACAATGGCTCTTTCTCTCTCTTCAGCTGTTAATCGTAGCATATTTCTCGTACTTGTATGTCATATCATGCATTCTAGGCTCTCTTTAGACCCTATAGAATCATTATACATGTGAAATGGATGCAAATACCGCTTGAATATTTCTGCGTTTTGGCGACTGATATTGCTATGTGTAAACAGAAAATGGCAAAATGTTACCTCGCAAGCATAGATGTTAACAAAGATAATTTTAGATGTTCCTAAACATTCTTTCACAATATCAAAGACACTTTTACTTGTTTTCACAAATGCAAATCAGCAGAAAATATTTTAAAAGACTGAAATCATAGGAATGATTATATTACAATTTTACACACTCTACAACAGTTGTTTCTTGTTTTAGTAGTTGAAAAATTGTGACTTTAAATGGTATATGTTTGTCCCAAAGCAGAATTTTATTTCAACCTTTCTTTTGGACATCTAAATCACTGTTATTGGTTTATTTCGGCATGGACGAAAATTGGACAATGTAACTCTTCTGAAAAGATGCACATCAACTGAATATGAATGCATTTGAGAATGTATTTTCGTGACTTGCATAAAGCTGTGTTGTTAAGCTTTCTTGTAAACTAATACCTTCTAACATATCTTTGATAGTTTTTAAGAAATTCATAAAGATAGAAGGGTGACGTTTCTATTGGCGTCTAGTGGATTGGGTGAGGCTTATGACAAGTGTCTCTGTAGACATACAAATTATTATCCTGATATCTCCCCTTGCTCATGAAGGTGACAGACGCGTGACCCGTTCTGAGTTTGTTCGTAACAGATTCGAACAATACGGCGCCCGCATCGACATTTCCAACAACAACTTCGACAACTATGACTGGGATGGAGACAACTACCTGACAGTCGAGGATGTTGATATGCTTGCTCCAATGATGGCTGAGTTGGATTCAAACAGTAAGACATTTTGTGCTGAGTGAGTGGGTGGGTGGGTGAGTGAGTGAGTGAGGGTGGGTGGGTGAGTGAGTGAGTGAGTGAGTGAGTGAGTGAGTGAGTGAGTGTTTTACACCGCTTTAAACAATATATGGGTGTTATCATGGCCTCATCGGCTTAATGTGTTGTGTAAGTCTTAAGTGTGTGATCTTCATGCTGCTTAGTGTTGGGAATTGGTTGAAATCTCACAATTGATGATTGCTTCATTACCAACGAACAATCATCGAAAAAAATTGGTTAGCGTCATTTTCAGATTTTCCTATTCAGGTTGTTACTGCAGAAAAGTATAACATGATGCAACTTGTTACTTTAAAGTGATGACTAATATATCATGAACATAAACTTCCTGGAGTCTTAGAGAAACATTCAGTCATGACTTTTCAGTTAGTGAAGTGAGTTTTCTAAGAAATAAACATGTTTTCAGGCCCTGACAACTTCTAAGATATGTTCCTCTGTCAAGTATTTCAAAGACTAAAACAGTAGTTCCAAAATCGTTTATGTTCGATTATGAGAAAATGTGATCGATTGCTTGGTTGTTTGGTCACTGCGACCAATCTTCGATTATTTCGTTTAATCGGAACATCACTAATGCCGCACCGAACAGTAGTCAAGCTATGTGAGGGCGGCCTGTACGTAAGTATGTCTGAACCTGACAAACCAATAATTAGGAGCAGGAATTAGTTCCAGGAGATCTATTCTATCTTGGAATCGTACATATTGGCACTGAAAAGCCTAAAAAGGCACAATGAATTGTGGGTCATTTGGAGGACAAGGCTACCTGTGGGCCAGTGTGTGTGTTTATCCAACAGATCATCCATCATGTACCACGTCCCACAGAGTGTTTCTTCTATATACTTAGTTATCTTATAAGGAGCCAGTATTTTCATCTCCCCTTTGATGTTATGTCTTCATTACAGAGGATGAAGAACTGAGCAGCTATGAACTGATCAAAGGTCTACGACAGGTAAAAACACCGGTCACCAAACACACATTCTGCTTCATGAGACATTTAACATGGCATTGATGTCAACAACCTACGTCATAGAAATTTTCTTTCTTACACTTTCTTAAGTGTGCAAGATCATGTACTGTAGGATTGAGTGTGTGAGTGAGTGAGTATGGTTTTACGCCCCTTTTAGCAATGTTCCAGCAATATCACGGCGGGGGGCACCAAAAATGGGCTATACTCATTGTACCCATGTGGGAATCGAACCCGGGGGGTCTTCGGCGTGACGAGCGAACGCTTGAACCATTAGGCTACCCCACCGCCCCTACTGTAGGATTGAATCGGTGATGCATGTGGCCACATTTTAGAACAAAGACAGGTGTTGGCGGTCGCCATAGTACGCCAGAACGTTTATGTAAAACTGAACACGAAAACACGTCCCATAGAGTGCACGTGCAGTAGAGTCACACAGGAGCAGGATATGTTTTGTATATTTACCAGCTGTAAGTAGTATTCGAGTATTTCCTACTGTTTTAAAGAGTAAATGTTGGAAAAGGGATGCTTGTCAGCAATGATACTTGCGTCTAATGTACAACTGTCCCATGTTGTGTGTATCAGATGGACTTGGCGGCGCAGCGGAAAGCCGATTGCGAGACTTATTACATCTACCGTCTTCCTCCGCGAGAGATGAAGCTGCAGAAAAAGAAGTGCGCTTCGAGGAAGATGTAGCAATATCACATGGAGAGGCAAATAATCTCTGCACAGCGGAAATACGGATACACAGTTTTGTAAATAAATGACATTGCTCAGTCAGGAGGGAGTTGTTTCTTCTTTCCGTATTCATCATGGGGAATTTCAAGACAAAGGAGCTGTTCGGCTGTCAGGCAACAATTTTAGTACAGCTACTAGTGCAAAGTAGCGAGGATGTTGCGCTAGAATCCCTACTTGGAATGAAAATGCAATTTTGTTACAAGTTTCAATATCATTTGAACTTTTAAACATTTTATCCATGAGGAAATCGAACCCGAGGCTTCAGCTTGAAGACCGAACACTTTAACCACTAGGCTACCCCAACGCCCACCGACCATCTCACTTTCTGACCTTACCCCATATTACATGTGAGTGGGTTGGTTTCATTGTCCGATGGGCGGTGGGGTAGCCTAGAGGTTAAAGCGTTCGATCTTCACGCTGAAGCCCCGGGTTTGATTCTCTACATGAATAATATAAAATGTGTCCATTTCTGTGTGAACCGCCGTGATGTTGCTGGAATATTGCTAAAAGCGGCTTAAAACCACATTCACTCACTCGTTGACCGAGCGTCCTTTAAGAAGAAGTCCCAGAGTACGATGGGACAGCTGACTGTGACACAGATCACTCATACGAGTAATACGTACCATCGAACACAGATGTAGCGTTTTTTCTGTGAATTAACAAGATACTTTATGAGCATGATGTATAAGGTATCGCTCTACAAAATGTGATTAGACCCTAAACGGGAACCTAAACACCTTCATAATCCAATAATTGTGACGCTTTTTATTCCTAAGTCTTTTTAGGAATGTTTGTTTGCTTGAGTTTGTTTTTGTGGGAAGGATCAGCAATATTCCAGCTACATGGCGGCGATCTGTATCTGATCTAGTCTGGACCAGTCAATTGGGATATGATTAGTACTCAGCCTGATAATGTTAAAATCTGACATCAAACATTTGGATGCTGAAGGCCAATTATACCACGGATCTTCACGGGTATTAAATGCTATAAGCTAAACGTTTTGAAGATCAAAATGTGGGAAGGATCTGTAGCCCCTACCTTAAGGTCATTTATATGGGTAATGTTAAAAGCCACGCCTTCTATGTTTCTTAACATTAATAGGTATATAGAAGTAAGGTCAGGGAGAACATGCTAAGTGTCTAGCGTTGTAAGAAGATTTACTTTCATTGCCAACTTTATTCATGATAGAATTGATATTATACATACAGCAAAAACACATTCACGAACACGACATGAAGCTCGGTGGGATTCGAAGTTTGAGTTTGTAGTTTCCACGCAACCATCTTTGCTACAAGGCTCCCGGTGTCATATCTATGTAGATAATGTACAAAAATGTACAGTCCTGATTAGTACATGTAGGACTGTGAATCTCATTAACACGTCATTTTCATTCATAATTATTATACATTGTATTCATATTTGACCTAATGCCCAATGATTTGCACCAGTTCAGAATAACGGTAACTTCTGTGATAAAAATACTGAGCGTTATAACTGACCACTGCACTCATCCACTGTTAATTTCACTAGGCTTGTGGTGTAAAAACACATCGTATTACAATTGATTTAAGGTCTGTTGATTATAAAGATTCGGTCGGTAATTAAGTATTCTTTAAGTTCATTCGTCATACTCTGAATCTCATGCTTCGTGCTGCACCCATGTCCTCACCCGAGTCAGCACTCGAATACCACCCATACATCCTTTATATCAGTAGAGTCACAATATATGAGATTCAAGGGTTATAGCGGGGAATCTTGTCCTACCTGTAGGCATGGAAACGGAAGAGTCTATTTCTATATATCAGGTATACAGGTTTCGTCACGTGATGTTGGTACTCTAGGCGTGCCATCAAACACTTTTGAGAAAAGAGAGAGATTTTATAACTGTTTGCGCCTTCGAGTCGAAGATTGCATGAAGGTAGGATAGCATGTGTGATATACGTAATTGTTCATGGTCATTGAAGAAAATCATCCGTCACAACATACATCAACACTAAAATAATCGCCAGCCTTCCAATTCATGTAATCACGTGCGACCGGTTCGATCGAATAATTATCGACGAATCATTAACTCAAATTTCAATTGTAGACACTTCACTGGGTGAGGTTTTGAATCTGGCGTTTTCTCGTGATTTGTGTTTAGATTCTTATGGTTGTGACAAGAATAGAAACTGGTTCTGTTTTTATAAACATGCCTTTATAACAATCTTGTGTATGTTGAATACCCGTGACGATCCGGGTTAGAATTGGTCTTCAGTAACCCATGCTTTTCACAAGAGGCGAGTAACGAGATCGGGTGGTCAGGTTCGCTGACTTGGTTGACACATGTCATCGTATCTCAGCTAGGTAGAACGATGCTCATGATGTTGATCACTGGATTGTGTAGTCCTGACTCGATTATTTACCGACCGCCACCATACTGCTGAGTTTGGTGTTAAACAAATATGTTGAATATAGACCCGCGAGGATCTCCGACGTGACAAACAGTATCATCAAGATATCTGTATGTACATTTGATACTCACAATAAACGGTTTCAAATATCACAGCTGTTTTAAAGTCGGTACCAGGCGGTAATGTGAATATAAACTCTTCTCATCATCAAGAGTGATAGATATTTTACTGAAACAATTCATCACCACGTCGTTACAGAAGCTGGCGAGTTAAAGGAAAGCTCAGGTGCCCTTAAACATTAGTTTTATAGAATATACATTATGAATCTTTTTTATTAATAATATCTTGTTGGTCTATTTTAGATCTGCCATGAAGGTCATCGTATTTCTATGGATAGCCTTGTGGTCCGCCACCTTGACAGAAGCTGGTCTCAGAAGGTATTCATCACCTTGTCAAATCTACTTCTACCATCCGACCTACCTCTTCTGTCAAACACATCGGCTGTCAGACACATAATTTGTCAGACACCCCAGGTGCCTGACGCCCAACAGGTTAAACACCATGTTGTAAGACATCCCGTCTATCAGACACCGCTTCTTTCAGACACCCATGTGGTCAGACACCAGAGTTGTCTGACACCGAAGGAGTTACATTCCTCATGTGTCAGACACCCTAGTTGTTAGACACCCCGTTTGTCAGACACTCGTGCTGTCAGACACCCTAGTTGTCTGTCACAGAGGTCAACAAAGAAGGGAGTCAATGTTGCTTTAAGCCGCATCAGTGCAACTATTCGCGGCTGCAACAAACAAGGGCTATTACGATAAGCTATGAAAAGCTGTTTTGAGTACAAGTCCTAAACATTGTGTACGTGTTGGTGAACAACCACCGCTATCCTGTACAGTGTTACAGTGTTACAGTGTTACATTGACTAACAGATAACCAGTTATCAAATGAGCTAGTTATCTTTAATCATGTCAGGATTTATCTTCCCATATTTTGTCAATATTTCACTTAAAGACAACGACTGTTTAAAGAATGTTAAGAAACCTTCGGAAAGGAATATATCTGTAAACATATTACAACCGCGTCGAAATGAAATTGTTGTTGTCACCATGATGAAAAGAACCTGCAAACAGAAAGCATGTATGTAGTTTGCATAATTTTAGAATGTAACAACATGTCAAGAAAAGTATCATTTTTAAAAAATATTTTTATATATGTGTGTTTTCTCTCTTCCCGTGTCTGGGTTCGAACCTTGCATCGAAAGATATCAGCCAATGGGTGGGTAATTCTCTCAGACATGGGTTGCTCAGTACAACTACGTTTCACAACGTTACTTACACCTACGTGGACAATGATGGTCCGTTATGATGTTGCAGCAAGCGGGGAGCCGGGTACCAAGGGAGCCGGCTGGACTTGGACAAGCTGCTCATGGACGTCGACCGAGACAACAACTCCATCGTCATCCGCTCAGAACTCTTTCTCAACCTGGGGCGTGGTGATAAAGACGGTATATCTAGAATAGACTACCTCTACACACAGTGAGTGAGTATTATTTTACGCCGCATTTTGCAATATTCCAGCAATATCACGGCGGGGGACACCAGAAATGGGCTTCACAAATTGTTGCCATGTGGGGAATCGAACCCGGGTCTTCGGCGTGACGAGTGGAGGCTTTAACCAAGAGGCTACCCCACCCCCCATAAGGGACGACAATAGACAAACGAAGAGACGACTGTGGACAGATAACGAAACAATACCGTCGCCCCTTTACTCACAGACAGACAGACGGACGGACAGATGGACAAACAAAAGCTCGTCAAGTTCTGGGTTAGAGTTTGCGTTCAGCTTGTGGTTAGAGACAAGTACCGGGTGAGATAGGTCTTAGTCAACACGTCATCGTATCCACACTGCGTATATCGATGCTCATGATGTCAGTCAATGGTCTGTCTGATCCAGACTCGAATATTTACAGACTGCTGCCACACAGCAGGAATATTGCTATGTGAGCCATAAAACATCAAACACACAGACATGCATAAAATGTGCCCTGTAACATTAGATGAAGCGATCCACACGTTTTCTACTCTAAATGCATTGTATATACCCACTTGGAAATTTTAAATGTTTTAGTATTCTAATTTGTTTCATTTTTGTCATGGCTTCAGATAACGGATTTATTTCTCGCTGTGAGTGGGTCAATGAAGCTGTCAACATATATGACGACTCCAAACTTGCCGCACTGAATTACTTCGACATCGTCGACACCAACGGAGACAACATGCTCACGACGTCGGATACAGATTTTCTCGCGCTGGACGCTGATGGTATGTAAACACGAAGGGTGGACGAGTGAGTGAGTGAATTAGTGTACAGCAATACACGTATAGCATCTTCATTTGTGGGATCTCAGCGGCAGGTGCACGGGGCCTGACCCGAATAATGTTTACATTCATACACATGGCTGCTACACTTGTTCGTGTAAAAAAATGAATTGCCTTTATCAGATTACAGTGAACGTTTTTGGACAGCAAACTCCCCGTACGTATAATCATCGTGTTTTCCATTTGGGCTCAGTTATAGTACAGTCACAGTACATCATCGTTCATTGGTCAACAACATTTAATGCACTCGAATTAACAAAGACACAATGAGCGGCATGCACGCTCAGAAATCACGGGCAGCAAAGAGCGAGGTTTCTGGCTCGCACGTGAATGAGTTAACCTCAGTGTGTTTCCTACCAGTTGTACATCGTGCTCGTGTCGAGGTACTCATAGAAGAAATACAGGCGTTACATTGAGGCCGATGTTTTGGAGATTTTACGTGCGCTTTCCGACAACGACAGACGACGAGACAAAAATGGACAGACGAAGTGGCGGTAATGAACAGACGAAGTGGCAACTGTGGACAGACGAAGGGGTGGCTGTGGACAGACGAAGAGACAACTGTGGACAGACGAAGAGGCGGTAATGAACAGACGAAGTGGCAACTGTGGACAGACGAAGAGACAACTGTGGACAGACGAAGAGACAACTGTGGACAGACGAAGAGACAACTGTGGACAGACGAAGAGACAACTGTGGACAGACGAAGAGGCGGTAATGAACAGACGAAGTGGCAACTGTGGACAGACGAAGAGACAACTGTGGACAGACGAAGAGACAACTGTGGACAGACGAAGAGACAACTGTGGACAGACGAAGAGACAACTGTGGACAGACGAAGAGACAACTGTGGACAGACGAAGAGACAACTGTGGACAGACGAAGAGGCGGTAATGAACAGACGAAGTGGCAACTGTGGACAGACGAAGAGACAACTGTGGACAGACGAAGGGGCGGCTGTGGACAGACGAAGAGACAACTGTGGACAGACGACGGGGAGGCCATGGACAGACGAAGGGGCGGCTGTGGACAGACGAAGACACAACTGTGGACAGACGAAGGGGCGGCTATGGACAGACGAAGGGGCGGCTGTGGACAGACGAAGTGAGAACTGTGGACAGACGAAGGGGCGGCTATGGACAGACGAAGAGGCGGCTGTGGACAGACGAAGAGACAACTGTGGACAGACGAAGAGGCGGCTATGGACAGACGAAGGGGCGGCTGTGGACAGACGAAGGGGCGGCTATGGACAGACGAAGGGGCGGCTGTGGACAGACGAAGTGAGAACTGTGGACAGACGAAGGGGCGGCTATGGACAGACGAAGAGGCGGCTGTGGACAGACGAAGAGACAACTGTGGACAGACGAAGGGGCAGCTATGGACAGACGAAGAGGCGGCTGTGGACAGACGAAGAGACAACTGTGGACAGACGAAGGGGCGGCTATGGACAGACGAAGGGGCGGCTGTGGACAGACGAAGAGACAACTGAGGACAGACGCAGGGGCGGCTATGGACAGACGAAGAGGCGGCTGTGGACAGACGAAGAGACAACTGTGGACAGACGAAGAGGCGGCTGTGGACAGACGAAGTGAGAACTGTGGACAGACGAAGGGGCGGCTATGGACAGACGAAGGGGCGGCTATGGACAGACGAAGTGAGAACTGTGGACAGACGAAGGGGCGGCTATGGACAGACGAAGAGGCGGCTGTGGACAGACGAAGAGACAACTGTGGACAGACGAAGAGGTGGCTGTGGACAGACGAAGTGAGAACTGTGGACAGACGAAGGGGCGGCTATGGACAGACGAAGGGGCGGCTATGGACAGACGAAAAGACAACTGTGGACAGACGAAGGGGCGGCTGTGGACAGACGAAAAGACAACTGTGGACAGACGAAGAGACAACTGTGGACAGACGAAGGGGCGGCTATGGACAGACGAAGGGGCGGCTGTGGACAGACGAAGTGAGAACTGTGGACAGACGAAGGGGCGGCTATGGACAGACGAAGAGGCGGCTGTGGACAGACGAAGAGACAACTGTGGACAGACGAAGGGGCGGCTATGGACAGACGAAGGGCGGCTGTGGACAGACGAAGTGAGAACTGTGGACAGACGAAGGGCGGCTATGGACAGACGAAGAGGCGGGCTGTGGACAGACGAAGAGACAACTGTGGACAGACGAAGGGGCAGCTATGGACAGACGAAGAGGCGGCTGTGGACAGACGAAGAGACAACTGTGGACAGACGAAGGGCGGCTATGGACAGACGAAGGGCGGGCTGGACAGACGAAGAGACAACTGTGGACAGACGCAGGGGCGGCTATGGACAGACGAAGAGGCGGCTGTGGACAGACGAAGAGACAACTGTGGACAGACGAAGAGGCGGCTGTGGACAGACGAAGGAGAACTGTGGACAGACGAAGGGCGGCTATGGACAGACGAAGGGCGGCTATGGACAGACGAAGAGAGAACTGTGGACAGACGAAGGGGCGGCTATGGACAGACGAAGAGGCGGCTGTGGACAGACGAAGAGACAACTGTGGACAGACGAAGAGGCGGCTGTGGACAGACGAAGTGAGAACTGTGGACAGACGAAGGGGCGGCTATGGACAGACGAAGGGGCGGCTATGGACAGACGAAAAGACAACTGTGGACAGACGAAGGGGCGGCTGTGGACAGACGAAGGGGCGGCTGTGGACAGACGAAAAGACAACTGTGGACAGACGAAGTGACAACTGTGGACAGACGAAGGGGCGGCTGTGGACAGACGAAGTGACAACTGTGGACAGACGAAGAGACAACTGTGGACAGACGAAGTGACAACTGTGGACAGACGAAGGGGCGGCTGTGGACAGACGAAGAGACAACTGTGGACAGACGAAGGGGCGGCTGTGGACAGTCGAAGTGACAACTGTGGACAGACGAAGGGGCGGCTGTGGACAGACGAAGTGACAACTGTGGACAGACGAAGGGGCGGCTGTGGACAGACGAAGTGACAACTGTGGACAGACGAAGAGACAACTGTGGACAGACGAAGGGGCGGCTATGGACAGACGAAAAGACAACCTGTGGACAGACGAAGGGCGGGACAGACAGACGAAGGGCGGCTGGACAGACGAAAAGACAACTGTGGACAGACGAAGGACAACTGTGGACAGACGAAGGGGCGGCTGTGGACAGACGAAGTGACAACTGTGGACAGACGAAGAGACAACTGTGGACAGACGAAGTGACAACTGTGGACAGACGAAGGGGCGGCTGTGGACAGACGAAGAGACAACTGTGGACAGACGAAGGGCGGCTGTGGACAGACGAAGTGACAACTGTGGACAGACGAAGGGGCGGCTGTGGACAGACGAAGTGACAACTGTGGACAGACGAAGGGGCGGCTGTGGACAGACGAAGTGACAACTGTGGACAGACGAAGAGGCGGCTGTGGACAGACGAAGGGGCGGCTATGGACAGACGAAGGGGCTGCTGTGGACAGACGAAGTGACAACTGTGGACAGACGAAGGGGCGGCTATGGACAGACGAATAGACAACTGTGGACAGACGAAGAGACAACTGTGGACAGACGAAGGGGCGGCTATGGACAGACGAAGGGGCGGCTGTGGACAGACGAAGAGACAACTGTGGACAGACGAAGGGGCGGCTATGGACAGACGAAGGGCGGCTGTGGACAGACGAAGAGACAACTGTGGACAGACGAAGGGGCGGCTGTGGGGCGGCTGGTGGACAGACGAAAAGACAACTGTGGACAGACGAAGTGACAACTGTGGACAGACGAAGGGGCGGCTGTGGACAGACGAAGTGACAACTGTGGACAGACGAAGAGACAACTGTGGACAGACGAAGTGACAACTGTGGACAGACGAAGGGGTGGCTGTGGACAGACGAAGAGACAACTGTGGACAGACGAAGGGGCGGCTGTGGACAGACGAAGTGACAACTGTGGACAGACGAAGGGGCGGCTGTGGACAGACGAAGTGACAACTGTGGACAGACGAAGGGGCGGCTGTGGACAGACGAAGTGAGAACTGTGGACAGACGAAGAGGCGGCTGTGGACAGACGAAGAGGCGGCTGTGGACAGACGAAGAGACAACTGTGGACAGACGAAGTGACAACTGTGGACAGACGAAGGGGCGGCTGTGGACAGACGAAGTGACAACTGTGGACAGACGAAGAGACAACTGTGGACAGACGAAGTGACAACTGTGGACAGACGAAGGGGCGGCTGTGGACAGACGAAGAGACAACTGTGGACAGACGAAGGGGCAGCTGTGGACAGACGAAGTGACAACTGTGGACAGACGAAGGGGCGGCTGTGGACAGACGAAGTGACAACTGTGGACAGACGAAGGGGCGGCTGTGGACAGACGAAGAGGCGGCTGTGGACAGACGAAGAGACAACTGTGGACAGACGAAGAGGCGGCTGTGGACAGACGAAGTGACAACTGTGGACAGACGAAGGGGCGGCTATGGACAGACGAAGAGACAACTGTGGACAGACGAAGGGGCGGCTATGGACAGACGAAGGGGCGGCTGTGGACAGACGAAGTGACAACTGTGGACAGACGAAGGGGCGGCTATGGACAGACGAATAGACAACTGTGGACAGACGAAGGGGCGGCTATGGACAGACGAAGGGGCGGCTGTGGACAGACGAAGAGACAACTGTGGACAGACGAAGGGGCGGCTGTGGACAGACGAAGGGGCGGCTGTGGACAGACGAAAAGACAACTGTGGACAGACGAAGTGACAACTGTGGACAGACGAAGGGGCGGCTGTGGACAGACGAAGTGACAACTGTGGACAGACGAATAGACAACTGTGGACAGACGAAGTGACAACTGTGGACAGACGAAGGGGCGGCTGTGGACAGACGAAGAGACAACTGTGGACAGACGAAGGGGCGGCTGTGGACAGACGAAGTGACAACTGTGGACAGACGAAGGGCGGCTGTGGACAGACGAAGTGACAACTGTGGACAGACGAAGGGGCGGCTGTGGACAGACGAAGTGACAACTGTGGACAGACGAAGAGGCGGCTGTGGACAGACGAAGGGCGGCTGTGGACAGACGAAGAGACAACTGTGGACAGACGAAGTGACAACTGTGGACAGACGAAGGGGCGGCTGTGGACAGACGAAGTGACAACTGTGGACAGACGAAGAGACAACTGTGGACAGACGAAGTGACAACTGTGGACAGACGAAGGGGCGGCTGTGGACAGACGAAGAGACAACTGTGGACAGACGAAGGGGCAGCTGTGGACAGACGAAGTGACAACTGTGGACAGACGAAGGGGCGGCTGTGGACAGACGAAGTGACAACTGTGGACAGACGAAGGGGCGGCTGTGGACAGACGAAGAGGCGGCTGTGGACAGACGAAGAGACAACTGTGGACAGACGAAGAGGCGGCTGTGGACAGACGAAGTGACAACTGTGGACAGACGAAGGGGCGGCTGTGGACAGACGAAGTGAGAACTGTGGACAGACGAAGAGACAACTGTGGACAGACGAAGAGGCGGCAATGAACAGACGAAGGAGCGGCTGTGGACAGACGAAGAGGCGGCAATGAACAGACGAAGGAGCGGCTGTGGACAGACGAAGGGGCGGCTGTGGACAGACGAAGTGACAACTGTGGACAGACGAAGGGGCGGCTGTGGACAGACGAAGAGGCGGCAATGAACAGACGAAGGAGCGGCTGTGGACAGACGAAGGAGCGGCTGTGGACAGACGAAGTGACAACTGTGGACAGACGAAGGAGTGGCTGTGGACAGACGAAGTGACAAGTGTGGACAGACGAAGGGGCGGCAATGAACAGACGAAGGAGCGGCTGTGGACAGACGAAGAGGCGGCAATGAACAGACGAAGGAGCGGCTGTGGACAGACGAAGGGGCGGGTGTGGACAGACGAAGAGACAACAGTGGACAGACGAAGAGGCGGGAATGAACAGACGAAGGAGCGGCTGTGGACAGACGAAGAGGCGGCAATGAACAGACGAAGGAGCGGCTGTGGACAGACGAAGAGACAACTGTGGACAGACGAAGGGGCGGCAATGAACAGACGAAAAGACAACAGTGGACAGACGACGAGACAGGAATGAACAGACGACGAGACAGCAATGGACAGAAGAAGAGACAAGAAGTGACAAACGAAGAGGCGGCAATGAACAGATGAGTGAGAGAGTTTAGTTTTACTCCGCTTTTAGCAATATTCTAGCAATATCATGGCGGAGGACACCAGAAATGGGCTTCACACATTTTGTGGGTAGTCTAGTGGTTTTAAAAGCGTTCGATCGCCACGCCAATTTCTGTGGTTGCTCCTCCACCCCCCGTGATATTGCTGGAATATTGCTAAAAGCGGCGTAAAACCACACTCACTTACTCACTCTTCCAGTTTCAATGTGTTTGTTTTCTGTGCAATCGATACAGGATAATTCGCGTGTGTGGCCAAGTGTTGGTAAATACAGACACATTTCCTATCATTTGCAGGTGACAGGGAAGTCTCAGTATCAGAACTCCGACAAGCAATTGAACGGGTATGTATATATATAACTAAGTATGAGAATGAGAAGCACTCAACATTATGCTGATGTGTCGAATAGTCCTCTCTTGGTGTTTCTCTTCAACATGACGTTCGATGTACGATAAACATCAGAGCCATATGGTGGTTTGAATGTAATGCTGCATATCATTTAAGTACTTCTGTTTAAAATGTATGCAAAACAATACCAATATCAAATACATTTATAATCACAAAAAACAAGGATTTGGAAGAAGAAATGTAATTTTTGGAAATGAAATAGGATTTAGATGATTACATTAAACTTCACAAATACTCAAATCTGGTAGATCATTGATAGTTCTATTCACAGCTATTTCATCAGATTGAACCTGTTGATTGACTTCCGCACCGCCGCTGACATCAATATTAATAGACAACTTGTTTCTCAGTGTCTGTAAATTCCGCATTTGGAACCCCTTCCGCGAATTTATCTATGTAAATATTATAAAATGGTTCACAAAAAACATTAGCACAACTGCAAGTTTGTACTTTCAGGATTATGAATTGGCTATGGATTCAGCTGCGTATAAGAAGTTTGAACAGCTTTCTCGGTGAGGTCAACTTTACACATGCTCACATTAAACGTGTTATTATGATAAAAGAGCTGACTGTTTCATAGTCAAAATTGTTTTCACTCACAACCTCGTTGAGATGTCATGCATAAAGGGGAGTGAGTGAATTTAGTTTTACGCCCTTTGTATTTCCAGCGTGACAGCGCCTCAAGAAGGAGACATCAAGTCTACACTCCAGATTGACGTCATCAAGAAGGACGTGGATTCCAACGATGACGGTGACGTTACACGAACTGAACTTCAGGCTCACTACATATCCAGCTTTGACAAAGATGGTGGGTAGAACAGCTGGAGTTGGGATGTCCGTGCTCACGTGGATGAGGGAGTTAATGTTGAACGTTGAATCGACATGTTTCAGCCAAACAGCGAGTTTGTACACACATGAGTTCGTCATAAATACAAGTTATGCTAACGAACAACTTACATAACATCTTTGAGAGACATTTAGAAGTTGGATCGATAAGGAAGGATGGCAATACATGGATGAACAACTTCTTTATTACAGACATCTCTCACTGCAATAAAGACGTTGTTCATCCATACATTGTTATCCCAACTTGATCCAACCCGTTAAGGTAACTTGCTATCATATGCAATGCTTCACGGGTGTGTACACTACATACGTTCCACGTTGTTTCATACTGGCGGGTTGATATTAGAACTGGGCCGTAGATGAATCAGAGGATAACATTAGTGATAAACACTATAACTACACCCTGTTCCATCCAACCCCACCCTATTCTATTCCATACCATCTTACCTTATCTCACCCTGTTCCATCCAACCCCACCCCATTCTATTCCATACCATCTTACCTCATCTCACTCTATTCCATCCAACCCCACCCCATTCTATTCCATACCATCTTACCTTATCTCACTCTATTCCATCCAACCCCACCCCATTCTATTCCATACCATCTTACCTTATCTCACTCTATTCCATCCAACCCCACCCTATTCTATTCCATACCATCTTACCTTATCTCACTCTATTCCATCCAACCCCACCCTATTCTATTCCATACCATCTTACCTTATCTCACTCTATTCCAAACCATCTTACCTTATCTCACTCTATTCCATACCATCTTACCTCATCTCACTCTATTCCATCCAACCCCATCCCATTCTATTCCATACCATCTTACCTTATCTCACTCTATTCCATCCAACCCCACCCTATTCTATTCCATACCATCTTACCTTATCTCACTCTATTCCATCCAACCCCATCCCATTCTATTCCATACCATCTTACCTTATCTCACTCTATTCCATCCAACCCCACCCTATTCTATTCCATACCATCTTACCTTATCTCACTCTATTCCATCCAACCCCACCCCATTCTATTCCATACCATCTTACTTTATCTCACTCTATTCCATCCAACCCCACCCCATTCTATTCCATACCATCTTACCTTATCTCACTCTATTCCATCCAACCCCGTCCAATTCTATTCCATACCATCTTACCTTATCTCACTCTATTCCAAACCATCTTACCTCATCTCACTCTATTCCATCCAACCTTACATTAATCCATTCCACCTCACCCTACTCGATAGAACCCAACCTCACCTATTCCATCTCACCAAAACTCTCCCTATTTCTTCCTACCTCACCTATCTCACCGACCTCACCTATTCAATCTCACCAAACCACCTCACCCTCTTCCTCCTCACCTATCTCACCCTATTCCTTCCCACCTCACCCTATTCCATTCCACCTCACCCTATTCGATAGAGACTAACCTCACCTATTCCAACTCACCAAACGTCACCTATTCCATCTCACCAAACGTCACCTATTCCATCTCACCAAACCTCACCTATTCCATCTCACCAAACCTCGCCCTATTCCACCCTATTCCTTCCCACCTCACCTATCTCACTCTGTTTCTTCCCACCTCACCTATCTCACCCTATTCATCTCACCAAACCTCACTCTATTTCATCCCACCTCACCCTATTCCATCCCACCTCACCTTGTTCCATCCCACCCAACCACACCTCACCCTATTCCATCCCACCCAACCACACCTCACCATATTCCATCCCACCTCACCATATTCCATCCCACCTCACCATGTTCCATCCCACCTCACCCTATTCCATCCCATCCAATCACCCCTCACCCCGTGTTATTGCCAGGTCGTGTTTCAGGTTCGACTTTGTTTTCAGATGACTACAAAGTAAGCCGTTGTGAGTTTGTCAGCGGCGCCGTGTCGAGATACGGGGACCGGAAGGAGGTTGCCATTGTTGCTTTCGACAACCTTGACAGCACTCAGAACAACTACATCGACATTGACGATATCAAACTGTCACGATTTGATCAGGACGGTATGCCGCCTCTTCATATCAATTTACCACAGTGGCACTCTATTTTGGTTTTGATTGGCTCTGAAGGTGAAAGTCGTAATTGATATTTCAAGCTCATAGCTGAGTTTTTTTTAAGGATTTACGAAATTTTGAAGCCATGTACGATCAAAAGGAGATATCCGTATTGGTATCCGCATTATAAGAGATTATAATCATGTGAAAGTCTTGAAGTTAAATATTTAATTCTGAGAGCTACCTTTGTCTTTCTTGCATATCGTTTTTCTAAAGGAACAGTAGACACATGTGACGAACTTACATTTTTATATGTATTTCCCGAGCTAGCTGCAATCGTGTGTAGGTGTAGGTGGTCAATGAAGATCAGGATCCCAATCGGTCTTCAGCAACCACTGCTTGTCGTAAGAGGCGGTTCATGAGATCCGGTAGTCAGGCTCGCTGAGTTCGTTGATGCATTTCAATTATCCAAATTGCGTAGGTCGATGCTTCTGGTGTTAATCACTGGATTGTCTGGTCCAGACTAAATTATTTACAGACCGCCCTCATATAGCTGGGAAATTGCTTAGTGCGGCGTTAAATTCCCTGTAGTCAAACACAACGCGTGTGAAATATTGATGCAGTGTATGGAACGCCCTACCTTTGCATATATAACTACTCATATATAAGTATATCTTTTTAAAGGAAGCGGTAAACTGACAACTGATGAGTTTGAGACTGCTGTAATACAGGTAATTAGGAGTTGAGTTGAGTTGTTGAGTTGAGTTGTTGAGTTGAGTTGAGGTGGGGCGGTGGTGAGGTGGAGTGGAGGGGTGGGCGGGGCGGGGGGGGGGGTGGGTGAGGAGTGCTGATGTGGGTGTGGTGGAAATGAGCTGAGGTGGGGTGAGGTGGAATGAGGTGGAGTGAGGTGAGGTGGGGTGTGGCGGGTGTGGTGTGGTGAGGTGGGAGGTGGAGTGGTGAGGTGTGGTGGGGTGAGGTGTGGTGGGGTGAGGGGGAGTGAGGTGAGGTGTGGTGTGGTGAGGTGTGGTGGAGTGAGCTGAGGTGAGTAGAGGTGGAGCGGGGTGAGGTGGAGTGAGGTGGAGTGAGGTGAGGTGAAGCAGAAATGGGCTACGGGGAGACCTCAACCATAAAAATAACGTCACTTAAGATCACAAACAGGACCATTCATTACTAATATAGGACGGTAGGGTAGCCTAGTGGTTAAGGCGTTCGTTCGTCACGCCAAAGACCTTGGCTCGATTCTCCATATGAGCACAATGAGCCCATTTTTGCTGCCCCCCGCCGAGATATTGCTAAAAGCGGCGTAAAAGTAAACTCACTCACACATTACTAATACAGCTTACAAATATCTCTAGAAAAGGGAGTGACTCCTTGCTCTAATTGAAGAAGATTTCAATATAGTTATAGCAATGATGTTTTTCAAATTCTCTCATTTGTCGTTTTATGTTAAAGGCTGACTGGGTTGCGCTCAAGAAGGTGTATCCTCAAGCTACGACCCCCGCGCCTCCTACAGGGGTCGCCGTCAACTGTTCCCCATCAATCCTCCTTGGCGGCTCTGTCATCTTCTTGCTCAGACTGTGGATATGAGTGGGTTCTGGACTGTCTGTGTGCACAAAACACTCTTCTTAAAGTTGCAAAAACAAGTGTAATATCAATGGTTTCCTATCATTGTGTAAAATCAATGTATTAGCATTGTCAGAACACTCTGAGGTTGTCTTGTATTGTTCTAGATGATGTTTAATCACTATTCAAGCGTATCGTTTCATGTATTATTTATTTGAAATTTGACTTTGTCTCCATATATTATGTGTGTGTATAAAATAAGAGTTTTGGAAGAGATAACGATCAATAAAAGATATTAGATAACCGTATAATTCGTTTTCGGAAATTGTTATGTAAAAGTAAGTGGTGATAGCTCAATGAGCTCATCTATACGATTTATAAAATGTTGGCATGCTTCATCAATATTTTCAAGTACAATGTACATGTAATACAAAGTGATAAAGAAGTGTTGACAGGTGATGTAGTGTTGTATTAATGAACTGACTGGGATTCGGCTGAGTTTTGTAACTGTGTACGCAGCTCAATGTAAGGCAAAACGAACCGAATATCAACTTGGGATAAGCCGAATATCACGTTGGATTAGACGAACAACATAGAGTGATCAGTTAAAAATCAATTTATATTCAGCCGAATATCACATTGAATGAGCAGTTTATCATGTTTGAATCAGTCGAATATCAAATAGGATTAGCCGAATATCATGGACGGATAAGTCAAACGGCATGTGGGGAAGAGCCAAATATTATACTGGATAAGTCCAATAACATGTAGAAAATATACACAGATTCTACAAAATTATAGTCAAAATGCCTAAATATATTGATCAATTTGACCGGGTTTGATCAAATACTCCATTCACTGCAGTGACACCAGATCAAAGACTGGAGTCTTGTTTAATGTTAAAGATGAAAATATACTCTAGGGGGTACAAATACATAAATCACTAATTGGCATCGTTAAAAATGCAACCCCGTCATTAAAACTACTCATTTCGATCTTTAATTAATTTAAATCGACCTTTTTGACAACAGTGCACAATTCTCACCCGCGAACGAAATTTCAATCAATCAGAGCGGCGCGTCTCTGTGACGTCATATGAGGAATAGATATGAGGGCTCATGCAGAATTCCTGTACATTTCAGGGGGTAAATTATCACTGTTGTGAAAAAATGAAAGCTATATGTTCTCACAATCCACTGTCACTTAATTTTGTCTCCTGCTCTGCCTACTTTTCTTAGACGATTCTGTCAAAAACGCTTGGTGTCGCTAGGCCTATTTCTTCGAGCCAGACGCTAGTGATAGTGAAAACGATGATCAGCCTCACTCATCACGGTTACGGTTAATTTCTTCAACCTAAACAGTGCGACATTAAGAAGGGCGGATGCCCATCAGATGCAGTTATTTGAAAATATCCCCGGTAGTTCTTGGCCGGTTGATTGTAATAAAGTATCAAAGCCAGTTATAATTTAATTTATTTATTATTATATTGTTAACTTTATTTGTTAGGTCTGTTTTGGTGTAAGGTATTTTTATTTAGCTTTTATTGAGTGGAGTCCAATTTTGGCAGCTTGGTCTGCCATTTCGTTGCCATGGACTCAGATATGTGACGGGATCCATATAAAATGTATTTGATTATTTATATTTTAGTGATATAGTATATCTTATCATAACATCTCTTCTTACTGCTACTCCAACAGGCTAAGTAGTTTTGTTTGAGTCAATTGAACACGATCTTACATCAGTATCTACTCATTCCGACACTATCATCCTAACTGGTGATTTCAATGCAAGGACTAAATCTTTGGTTGATTTCTGTACATTTGATAGACATATGTCTGAAGATCTAGATCTTGAGGACATGAAGACTGAACTTGACTCGGAATCAATGCTCGAGGATCTTGGCATTCCACTAAAGAGAACATCTCAAGACAGAGGCCAACCAAACAATTATGGATTTAGATTGATTGAGTTGTGTAAAAATCATAATATGGTTTGGATAAACACCAAGGTAAAACAACATGTAAAGACGTCAGTACAGTAGCCTATGTCATTTTCTCACCAAATGCACTACCTTTATTCCATGATTTTAATATTAAAGAATTTTGTCCAATGTTATCTGATGTACATAAACCAATTCACTTCAGTCTACATATGTCAGACGCGCATTATGCAAACATATGTCATGAGCAGACGCCAGCTCATACCCACACAGACATTCCTGACAGCAAACCAGGTAAATTCATGCATGATAAAGTTGTTGTATTCCTTGAAAACATTTCAGATGATTGTGTAAACACACTGTGCACGAAGGCAAGGTCACTAAGGGAAGGTCAAGGTAACCAAGTAGAGGTTGTGAATGAAATAGCTCATGAGGTCGCGCACGTGCTAATTGATTCTGCACGAAAAACATTTGGCGATATTCCTTATAAGGCTAATACCACTACTTGAAGTAAAACGAACGCTTTCTATAAGCCATGGTTTGGATCAGATTGTAAGAAGAAACGCAAGTCATTTTTCAAAGCAAAATATGTCTATTATAAGAACAGAACCGATCATAATAAAACTCTTTTCCGTAAAGCAAGTAAAGAGTATAAGAAAACAATGAATAAGTATATAAAGAAAGAAAATAATTTTATTAGAAAACAGTTACGCGAAACCCAGCATTTATCTCCAAAACACTACTGGAGATTACTGAAAGGTAAACAGAAAGAAGACAGTTGTCCTATCCCATTAGATGAATTCTATGATTATTTTAAAAACGTTAACGAAAGTACCATTAACGATGATGTGGACCTGGATGGAATGTCAGACCCCCCAAATTATGATGTTAGTGTACTCAATGATGAAATAACTTCAAATGAAATCGTCCTTGCCCTTCAAAAACTGGAGAAAAACAAGACGTCTGGCTTAGACTTGATTTCAAATGAGCACTTATCTTCAGCCTTACCAAAACTGCTACCATTTTATGTTGAATATTTAACGCTGTACTTCAGACTGGAATTTTGCCCGAAGCATTGCTTACTGGTACTATCAAACCTATCTATAAGAAAACTGGTAATCGTACGGACCCGGCTTCATATAGACCAATCTCTATCTTAAGCTGCTTTGGTAAACTTTTTACTAGCATCCTAAACGAGAGATTAAATAAATTTTGTGATGATAACGATATAATATCGCATGTCCAATCCGGTTTCCGAAAAGGCTTCTCCACAACAGATAATGTGTTTATTATTCATAATTTGTTAAATCATTGAAGAAATGTAAAACGAAACTCGTTTGTGCCTTTATTGATTTTTCTAAAGCATTTGATAAGGTTTGGAGAATTGGACTGTGGACCAAATTAAGACAAACTGGTATCAAGGGTAAAATACTGACTTTAATACAAAATATGTATAATGATATAAATCTTGCGTTATGGTAGAACCTGCAAGGTCAGATTTCTTTGATTGTCTTTCAGGAGTTAGACAAGGAGAAAACTTGTCTCCTCTTTTATTTTCTTTATTTCTAAATGACTTAGAATCCCATTTAGAAGAACAAGCATGTGTCGGTATTGAATAAAAATCAAATAATGATGAGTTTATTATTTATCTAAAATTGCTAGTTCTACTTTACGCTGACGCTACAGTTCTCTTAGCTGAAACTCATAATGATTTACAACAAACACTGAATAAATTCGCTGTATATTGCGACACATGGAAACTTAAAGTAAATATTAGTAACACTAAAATTATTGTTTTTGGTTCCGGACCTGCAGCTAGTTATAAGAAATCCTTTACACTATATGATGATAGAATAGAAGTTGTAGACACCTATAAATACCTGGGAACTCTACTACACAGAAATGGTTGTATGAATTTTGCTGTTAAACACATAGCCGATCTTGGTATGAAGGCATCAATAGCGTTACTAAAACGTGCCAGAAATGTTAAGTTACCACTGGACCTGCTCCTTTCTGCATTTGATAGATTAGTAGTACCAATATTGATGTATGGATGTGAAATATGGGGACACGAGAAGACTGACATGATAGAAAGAGTACATCTAAAATTTCTTAAATTAGCAACTGGTTTAAAATATAACACCCCTAATTTCATGGTGTACGAGGAGCTTGGTAGGGAACCTATTCAGCTTCAAATTTCGAAACGACTAATCTCGTACTGGTGTAAATTGACATTATCACATCAAAATATCAAAATAGCAACTTTTATTCTTCAATATATTACTAAACAAAACAAAACATCGAATAACTATGTCTGGCTAAGTCATATTAAACATATTTTCTGTAGGTGCGAATTGCCTGACGTTCTTGACAACCCTCATCTATACTCAAATTCATGGATCATTTCAAATGTTGAATCTATCTTAAAGGACCAATTTTTACAATCGTGGACGAGCGATATGCAAAACTCCTCTAAAGGAATATACTATTAAGTTCTGAAGCGCTCTCCAAACTTTGAACAAACCTACTTCTCTCAGATGATATTTCTTAACCGATCCTAAAATTTAGAACATGCAACCATAAACTCCCCATAGAAACAGGGAGATGGCAAAATATACCAAAAGAACACAGAGTTTGTAACTTATGTGACTCACATTTGATCGGAGATGAGTTCCACAATTTGTTTAAATGTAATTATTTTGCAGACATACGTAATTCGTTGTTAAAAGAACCTTATAGTTACTGGCCAAATTTATCGAAATTCCGTCAACTGTTTTCAAGTAAAATATCTACCCTTAAAAATGTATCCAAGTTCATCAAGATTGTTTGCAAACACTTTAATTGATGCATCATTTAGTCATCTTGTCATATTGTATGTAACATACTCCTTTGTTATACTCATGTACCACCGATGGTGGATTATTTTGAGTAATAAAACGTGTGATGAAACGTGTGATGTTAACCAAAGGATACATTGATTGACTGCTTATTGTTGTTTTCGCCGTGAAGTGTAATGAGACAGGCAACATACACTAGGGCGCGTGTGCGAATTATGATTCACATTGGCAAACCATAAAATGTCTAGATATTACAGTCCTGTCATAAATTCACTATACGTATCAGCAGATCGTCTGCTTTGTATTTAGTTTCAAAAGGCATACAAGTATGATAATAAAGTAATTAGGATGATAAGACCAAATATAAAGACGTACATTGACTAGTATCTACAAACTGGTGAGTGGACGTTAACCACGTGAATGTAGCAAGAAATTTATCGTCCAGTATTGTCATTTCGACCCTCACCTCGCTTCCGTGGAAGAAATCGTTATGTTATAAGTTGTGTCATGCAAAATCCTTTTGGTCATGATTCAAATGCATATTTAACTACGAGTAGAAAGTAGTTTTGATTTTCTAACTTGATGAAAACAAGCCATAATCTCATTAATTCTAACAGACTTTAGCCCGTGACTTTACGATTTTCAAAAATGGCGGCGCCCTGTCGCGAACATCCGCCAGTC